TTTTATTTAATTTTTAGAAGACATGTAATTACGAAATCATCTCTCTCCTTAACTATTATTCACCATATCATAGTTATATTCTTGAACACATTTTTTTTCGTTTTTATGTTATATACTACCTCCGTCCCATTAAAAGGTTCTCGTCCACTATTCACATTGTCAACTTAAATCAATTTTAATCTTTTACTATATAAATCAATTTTTTATCAAATTTAAATTTTTTTATCAGGCTTTGTAGCGGTTTTAATGTAGTTTTCTGAATATGTTAATTTTATATACTAAAAATAATCAGAGTTTGAACAGGGATTAAGTTGTTTTATCGTCAGTCAATAATCGTAAACCGTCAACGGGAACCTTCTAGCAGGACGGAGGGAGTACAAAATATGAATAAGATATTGGTTCATGTGCATTACATTACATATTCGAGGTTGTGTGTTAGATACTGGTTCTTGTGCATTACATACTTGTGATTCTATATGTCCATACTATGTGCTATATACGAGTTGTATAACGTATATATGTATTGTGTGTTAGATACTAGTTCATGTTTACAATATAATGATTTTAGTTATATGAAGTATTTATGTGTTAGATACTATGGATTAGTTCTTAATTATTGTGCGCTACATAGTGATTTTTTGTGATTGAGATATTTCTTTGGATGCTTTATATACAAATATGTGTGAGATACTATTTTTCATGTGCGTGAGATATTAGTGATCATGCATCAGATACTGGTTCTTGGGCGTTAATTTGTATTGTGCATTATATATTGATTCTTGTGTGTTATATACTACATATTAGTTTAAGTTGTGTGAAATCCTTCTGTGTTAGATATTAAACATTTTTTAATTTCGTTGTCAGATATTGTTCCTTGTGCATTAGACATTATATTTTGTGCTGAAGATACTTGTTTTAGTTTTTCTTATACATATTGTGTGTTGGATAGTGTTTCTTGTGCGTTAGATATTAGTGGTTGTGTGTTAGATACATATTATTGTACATGCGATAGCTGCAGATAATGTTTGTTGTGGTTTATTGTATACATATTATACATTTTTAAAAAATCTATATGTCATATTGATCTCATTTGAAAGATCATAAAGAGTTATTTAATTTGATACAATTTTTGTTAAAATCAGATTATAATTTAAAAAGTTAAATCAATTTTAAAACTAAAATATTTAATATGATTTGACATTAAATTTCTTCCTAATTTTTTGGTAGGTGATAGCCTTGAACCGATACTACATTAAATGAATTTTGAAAGGTTGACAATTTTTTTGAAAGGTTGACAATTTTACCCTGTGCACAAGCCACACATGGTTATTTTAGTTTGCTAAATGTGTTTCTATGGTACACAACGTAGGAACTAATTGTACACCTACTCATTAATCAACCGTCTGATTCTCTTAATTAAAAGCCAGAATTTGTTCTTATTTCTTACAATAAGGGGTGTTCTTATTAGAACCACTCTATATATATATATATATATATATACAGGGGCGGATCTAGCATAGGGCCAGGGAGGGCCTAGGCCCCACCTAAAAAAAAATTTACTAGTGTATATATATATATATATATATATATATATATATATATTATATGTACTGTGAAGCAATGGTATAATTAGAACAAACGTCCTATTGTAAACAAAAGCTACGTTGGTGTGATGTTAGAGGCGTGATTGTGCAATCTAGAGGTTATGTGTTCGATTCCTAGTTGGAGCATATTTTTTTTTATTTTCCATCCAAGTCCAGGAACAAGCTATCTTACACAAATCAAGTCAGAATTTTAACTTTTGAATACTATGATGCAAAAATCAAGTAGTCCAAGTAATTGGGCTTTATTAGTCTGAAAAACCAATTAGTTCAATTGATTGAGCTTTTTGAATATTGTCCTAAAAATTAATTAGTTTTATTCATTGGACTTTTGAATATTGACCAAAAAATTAATTAGTTGAATACATTGGATTTCGTAGGTGAAAATAAGTTTTCTTTACATAGAGTATAGATTTTAGATTAAAAAAATCGGTTTATCTTGTTTCCGAGAAATTAACCTAAAAATTGGCACTAAACATTTGGGTAACTGATAAAACTTCGGTTCGATATTTATGACTTTTAAGATAATTGTATTGTCGGTTCTGTAATATTCAATTTATTCTTTGACATTTCTATAATTTACATTTTGACTTCTAAGATATTATTATACTGTATTACATTTTGACATTTTTTTATAATATACGTTATTTGATTAAATTTTGGCCCCACCTGAACGTAAATGCTAGATCCGCCCCTGTATATATATATATATGGAGTGGGATCTTTCCCCTATATATATATATATATATATATATATATATATATATATATATATATATATATATATATATATATATATATATATATATATATATATATATATATATATATATATATATATATATATATATATATATATATATATATATATATATATATATATATATATATATATATATATATATATATATATATATATATATATATATATATATAAATATATATATATAAATATATATATATATATATATATATATATATATTTATTTATATATATATATAGGGGAAAGATCCCATACAAACCAAGCTTCCGGTGCAAACTACAAACTAACGACATCCATTAGATTGGCTAAAACGGACAACTGATATGTATGGGCTGCATTGTTTAAACTGTGCACTGAGATGCGGGGGATAAAATAAATTCCACCGTTTGAAATGTTTAACAACATCCAAGCCTTAGTCCCAAAAGATATTGGGGTCGGCTAACATGAATCGATACATGATATCACAACCAAAAGGAAAAGAAGGAATAAAGATAAAAAGATAAGCTATTATGAAAAGATCATATAAAAAAGATGAATATATATAGAAATGATAAAATAAAAAGGCTGCAAATAAAGCATATATATATAAGGATAAAAAAAAACTAGGAAAAAAAGATGAGGGAAAAAGATTATCAAGATCACTCCTTCACGTGAATACCCGCCCTCCACTTAGTTCTCTCCAAAGTCATGCCCTCATCCAACCCCAGAAGAAGCATATCACTTCGAACTCCCCTAACCCACGTCTGTTTGGGTCTTCCTCTCTCTCTCTTCCCTGCCTCATCTCCACACATCTCAACTCGCCTAACAGGTGCATCACTCGGTCTTCTACGCACATGACCAAACCACCGTAGGCGCGACTCCCGCATCTTGTCTTCAATAGGTGCTACTCCCACCCTTTGTCTGATTGTCTCATTCCTCATGCGGTCCTTCCTAGTATGCCCACACATCCAACGCAGCATGCGCATCTCTGCCACACTCATCTTTTGAATGTGACATTGTTTCACCGCCCAACACTCTACGCCATACAGTAATGCAGGCTTAATTGCTGTCCTATAAAATTTACCCTTCAGTCTAGTCGGCATACCTCGGTCGCATAGAAATCCTGACGCACTCTTCCACTTCATCCACCTTGTTCTGATTCTATGGGATACATCTCCATCTAACTCACCATCCTTCTGAATTATGGAGCCCAAGTAACGGAACATATCGCTGACTGGTATCTCCTTACCATCCAGAGTAATTCCGCTACTACCACTACTTCTACCTCCACCAAACTTGCACTCCATGTACTCTGTCTTGCTCCGACTTAGTTTGAAACCCTTATTCTCCAATGTTTGTCGCCATACTTCCAACTTTGCTTTAAGACCTGATTGCGTCTCATCAATCAATACAATATCGTCGGCAAACATCATGCACCACGGTATATCGTCTTGAATTGACTTCGTAAGTTCATCCATGACTATGGCAAATAAGAAAGGACTCAAGGCCGATCCTTGGTGCACTCCGATAGTAATAGGGAACTCTTCAGTCCTCCCTACACTAGTACGAACACTTGTAGTACAATCCTCATACATATCCATGATGATGCTGATATACTTGCGTGATATGCCTTTCCTAGTTAAGGCCCACCAAAGAACTTCTCGAGGTACCCTATCATATGCCTTTTCTAAGTCAATGAACACCAAATGCAGATCCTTATGAGCATCTCTATACTTCTCCATAAGTTGACGAAGAAGGTGAATAGCCTCAATTGTTGAGCGACCAGGCATAAAACCGAATTGATTCTCTGAAATCTTCACAGTCCTTCGAAGTCTTTGCTCAATCACTCGCTCCCAAAGTTTCATGGTGTGACTCATAAGCTTAATCCCTCGATAGTTGGCACATTCTTGTACATCACCTTTATTCTTAAATAAAGGGATAAGAGTACTCTTCCTCCAACTCGTTGGCATCTTGTTGTTTCTCCAAATCATGTTGAAGAAACTTGTTAACCACTCGACGCCTCTCTCTCCCAAACTTCTCCAAGCCTCGATCGGTATGCCATCTGGCCCCATTGCTCTTTTCCGTCCCAAAGGTAATTTTAGATTTCCAAAACAAAGCCGCCGAAATCAAAATTGGGATTAACTTTAGAAATCCCTAACTTTACGGTTAATATCCACTAAGAAGGTAACTGGCCACGAATACCAACGTGAAAAAAGGTAAGTTGCAGACCATACAAACAGAGGACGCAACTCGGTCGAAGACTGGAGCAAGTTGTTCGAAGCCTGGAGAAAGGTTTTCGAAGATTTTTAAACGACGTTGAGTGCAGTGAAGGCTTGGTGTTTGATGAAGGTGGTCGCTTTCATCCCTCCGTTATATCAATACAAATGCAAATGGAGCTTGATGATCACTAATACAATTATCAGACAAAAGAACTGAAGTGTTTAAGATTAAACATGCAAAATTGTGAAATGTAGATGCATTATTGTGATTTAAAAAATGAACAAATCTATTTGGTTTAATTGTAGTCACATTAGAGTTGAAACAAGTTTCTTTGCAGCATGTGTAGTTGTAAGATGTGATGGAGTATATGGGTCTGAGCCCCCGGACCCACATACTCGGAAGAACAGAAAGCACAAGACAACAGAGTGGCGCCCTCGTCGGCCAAGACGCCCCCGTCGGCCACGCCCTCGTCGGCCACGAAGACCTCACAGAATCGGATTTTATACTTACTCATTTGTACATCCCATTAGTGGCTTTGTATTCGGCCCAGTAGCGGTCCAGTTGTAAATGGGCCTCCCAAGCCCTAGGTTTGGGAGCCCAACCCTAATTTTCTCTATAAATACTCCCCTTGGGAGTAGTTATAGGGGTTACAAAATCATTCTATTGAAGCATACTATTGCACTTCTCTCTCTAGCTCTCACTTCTCTCTAGATATACTCTATCATTTGGTGCTCTCGTTGAGAGCTAGAACAATCAAGTTAGCACCCTTCGTCGCTACCAAGCACAGCTAACCACTGATCATGGGGAGAACTAAGTCAAACCGCAACCTCGTCAGCAAAGTCATCCCTGAGGACCAAGAGCCCAGGGAGCACGATGAGGACGCCACGGCCGACCAGGCCGGCGGAGGGGATCTCTTCCAGGAGGCCTTCAACCTCACAACGGACCTCCGCAACCAACTCAACGGCGGCGCCCCTGATGCCCGCCTCGGCTTGGACAAGAAGCGAGCTGAAAAGACGGATCACGCCCTGGCCCAGCCTTTGGCCGCGGCCTCTCCGTCCGTAGATCCTCAGGTCCACGCCGCACTATCGGCTATCATCGCCAGCTTGGCTCAGAACCCCACCGTCCTCAGCGCACTCTTGCCAAGAACTGGGGGGAACGTCACTCAACCTCCTCAACCCCAACCGTTGGCCGTCCAGATTGGCAACGATGAGGGGGTGGTGCCCCAGGACACGGCGTCGTCCCACTCCCACCCTGCTTCCCCTCTTCGGCCCGGGCAGACCCCAGCGCGTGGAAAAGCCTCTGCCTTCAATAGGCTAGGTAACACGCGCCGTCGTCCGGTTTCGGAGAGGATGGCGGGACGGATTGGTGATCCTCGTCCTGGCTCGCCAAGGGAAAGCTTGGGGTCTGTGTCCCGGACAGCGGACCAGCCCCGCCCGGACAAGGGCAAGGGGAAGTTGCACGAGGATGACGTGCGTCACCAGATCAACGCGGCTCACAACGAGCGTCTGAGGAACCAGCCGGGTGCCGCCGCGGCCGACAGGGACCCCCGGGACGAGGTCATCACCCAGCTGGAAAGGAGGCTGGCTCAGATGGAGGCCAAGCAGTCGGCCAACATCCCTACGGTCGGCGCCTCCAACGACCCCGGCCTCAACGCGCTCATGAACAAAGTTAGCGCCCTGGAGAGGGAGCTGGCCGAGGGGCGAGGTGACCCCGTCATCCAGGTCAGAACCAGGACCCCTTTCACCAACAGGGTCCTCTCGGCCCCCATCCCTGAGAAGTACAGGGGGAACGCCATCAAGTCCTACGATGGCCGATCAGACCCCCAGGAGCACTTCATCCGTTACCAGAACAACATGTTGATGGTGAACGCGTCCGACGAATACCTCTGCCGTTGGTTCCTCTCTACTCTCGAGGGGCCAGCGTACGAGTGGTTCAACGGGCTGCCAGAAGGAAGCGTCGACTCATGGCAGGATCTCGCCCAGCGCTTCCTCACTCACTTTGCCGGGAGGAAGCGCGCCAAGAAGTATTTCACCCACCTCCTCTCCGTCAAGCAGCAGCACGAAGAGTCCCTCCGATCATTCATCGATCGGTGGAAGAGGGAGACCGAGGAGGTCGAGGGGGCCGATGAGCGCACCCTCCTCGCCTTGTACCAGGGAGCCCTCCGCAGCTCCCCGTACGCTAGGAGCCTCATCACCGACCCCCCGAGGTCGTACGCCAAGGCGCTCCAGCGTGGAGGCTTGTATGCCGACGCCGATGAGCTCCACAATCACAAGAGAGAGGGGGACCATCCCCCCAAGAAGACAAATCCTTCGCCGGCCCCGGGTCCGTCCCTGGCCGGCCAGGGTGCCCAGGGCCGCCACGGCTCTGGTGGACAGAGTAAGAAAGACCGCCACTGGCGGCCGAGGCTGGAACGGCCGGGGGTAACCCTCACCCACCCGGTCGGCACCATCCTCGATTATGCCGAGAAGCACGGCCTCATCGAGCAGGCTCCTCGGCCGGCCGAGGAGATCCTTGCCATCCAGCAGGGCGGCACATACTGCCGGTTCCACAAGAACTCGTCGCACAACACCGACGATTGCATCACATTGAAGAAGGCCATCGAGCGCCTTATTCGCCAGGGGGAACTCTCCCAGTTTGTCAAAGGTGGCCCACGCAAGAACACTTGGGTAAACACCGGCAAACATGGGGGTGAACCCTCTGCGAAGAAGCGGGAGATTGGTAGACTCAGCGACGACGAGGACTTCGAAGAGCCTCCGCCGAAGAAGAATCACATCCACCTCATCGTAGGTGGGAACACTGGGGGGGACTCCGCCACTCAGAGAAAGAAATGGGCCCAATCCCTTTACATTGGGGAGGTGTCCCACGTTCCCCCCCCCCCCCCCCCAGCCGAAGAAGCAGCGAACGGAGGCGATCACCTTCACCGACAAGGATCTGCCTCCGGGTACGGAATCACACAGGGACGCCCTCGTCATCCGATGTGAGATTGGTGACTCCATCATCCACCGTACTTACATCGATACGGGGAGCTCCGTCAACGTGATGTACCTGGACACCTTCAAGCAGCTGAAGCTGGACAGAGCTTTGCTGAAGCCGATCAAGACCCCGTTATCCGGCTTCACCGGGGACTCTATCGACGCCGAGGGCACGATAGTCCTCCCCGTGGAGGTCGGTGACGGCCCCCACCACGCCAAAATTGACATGGAGTTCATGGTGGTCAACCTCCAGTGCGCCCACAACCTGATCTTGGGCCGGCCAGCGCTGGAGGACTTGGAGGCCATCATCTCCATGAAGCACCTATGTTTGAAGTTCCCCACCAGTGACGGCATCGGCTACGCCAGAGGAAACCAGAGGATAGCCAGGGCATGCTACCTCAAACTGACGAGGCCGGCCGAGAGGGAGGGCCAGAGGATAGACACCATCACGGCCGCCGTCGCCATGGACGAGGAGAGGCCACATGCGGAGCCGGCCGAGGAGGTCGAGGAAATCCCTCTGGATACCTCCCGGCCGGAGCGGGTTCTCAGGGTCGGAAAGCAACTCCCCCAGGACCAACGAGACGCCATCCTCCTCGTCCTACGGTCATACGCCGTTGTCTTCGCATGGGGCCCGGACGATATGCCAGGCATCAGCCGCCAGGTGATCACTCACCGGCTGACCGTCGATCCGGCCTCCGCGCCTGTCAAACAGAAGCGGCGCTACTTGTCCGCCGACAGGCGGGACTTCGTCAAAGGGGAGGTCGTCATGCTCCTCTCAATCAAACACATCAAAGAGGTGAAGTACCCGACATGGTTGGCCAACGTCGTCCTCGCACAAAAACCGCCGACGTTCAGAATGTGTGTTGACTACACTGACCTGAACAAGGTGTGCCCCATGGACCCGTTCCCTCTCCCCAACATTGATCAGCTGGTGGACGAGACGGCGGGGTGCGAGTTGATGTCGTTCCTCGACGCTTTCAGAGGATACCACCAAATCTCCATGCATGAAGATGACGGTGAGAAGACGGCATTCATGACCCCAGAGGGAATCTTTTGCTACCTCGTCATGGCCTTCGGACTCAAAAACTCCGGCGCCACCTATACTAGGATGGTGGCCAAGATCTTCAGAGCGGTCCTTGGCCGGACGATGGAGGCGTACGTCGACGACATGATCACAAGAGCAGGCAGGCCGCCTCCCACGCCGACGACCTCCGGGAAATCTTTGAAATAATGCAGGAGTTCAGGCTCCGCCTTAACCCCAAAAAGTGCGCCTTCGGCGTTCAGGGCGGCAAGTTCCTCGGCTACATGGTCAGCCGGAGAGGCATAAACCCGGAGAAGACACAGGCCATTATCAACATGGAGCCGCCCCGCAACGTCAAGGAGGTACAGCGACTGACGGGGCGCCTGACGGCCTTAAACCGGTTCCTCTCCAGGTCCGCCGAGAGGGCACTCCCTTTCTTTCAGATCATGCGAAAAGCCAACAGCTTCAGGTGGACGACGGAGTGCCAGGAAGCATTCGACGAATTGAAAAGGTACTTGTCGTCCCCACCCGTGCTCTCCAAGCCCAGAGCCGGCGAAACCCTCTTCTTGTACTTAGGGGTGAGCACGTCGGCCATCAGCTCCGTGCTCATCCGTGAGGACGAAGGGGTGCAGAAGGCCATCTTCTACATCAGCAAGACACTCAGGGAGGCCGAGCTCAGGTACTCCCCCATTGAGAAGACGGTGCTGGCCATCGTCCACACAGTGAAGAAGCTGGGGCACTATTTCCAAGCCCACACCATCCATGTGCTGACCCAGCAGCCTCTTGGCGCACTCATGAGGAGCCCCACAAGCTCCTCGAGGATGGTGAAATGGGCGATCTTCCTCAGCCAGTTTCAGATTGAGATCAAGCCAAGGCCATCCATCAAAGGGCAAGCCTTGGCCGACTTCGTCATTGAATGCACAGCAAGGGAGACGGCCGTCGCGAACCCCGGGCCGGAGCCGGACGACACGTGGACCCTGTTCACTGACGGCTCGTCAGCTGCGAAATCATGCGGCGGCGTCGTCGTCCTCATATCCCCTGAAGGATTCAGAGCTTACTATGTCATCCGCTTCAACTTCAGGGTATCCAACAACGAAGCCGAGTATGAGGCCCTCCTCAGCGGTCTCAGACTCGCGGCCGGCCTCCAGGCCAAGCACCTCAAAATCAAGTGCGACTCCAAACTGGTGGTGGGCCAGGTGGAGGGATCGTACGAAGCAAAGGAAGGCCGGATGAAGCAGTATAAACAAGCGGCGGAGGAGTTGCTGAAAGCGTTTGAAACCCACGAGATCACTCAGATCCCCAGGGCCGAGAACGCCGAAGCCGACATCCTCTCCAAGCTCAGCTCGGACACCCCGGAGCACATCTCCCAGTTGGCAAAGATCAAGGAGTTGAGCATGTCCAGCATCCATGCCAGCCCCGTCTTGTGCGTCCAACAGCGACCAGAGGACTGGATCTCCGACATCGCCACCTTCATCACAACGGGGGAGCTGCCCCCGGACGAGGAGAGGGCCAAACTTGCCAAACTCAGGGCCCCAAGCTACACCATCGAAGATGGCAAACTCTACAAACGGTCCTATAATGGCACTCTCCTCTGATGCCTGCACCAGGACGAGGCCGGCACAGCCATGGAAGAAGTTCATTGTGGCGTCTGTTCCTCACACCAGGGCCCTTTTAGCATGTCCCGGCGTCTCGTCGTCCAGGGCTTCTTCTGGCCGACGATGGCACGCGACTGCGCTGATCTGGCCAGAAAGTGCACCACATGCCAGGTACTTCAGAAGGCCCCTGGTCGGCCAGCTGTCAACTATGCCCCTGTCAGCACCGCAATTCCATTCTCCAGATGGGGGATTGACCTGGTCGGGCCCCTGCCCAGAGCCGCCGGGAATAACCGCTACATCATCGTCGCCGTCGACTACTTCACCAAGTGGGTCGAGGCGGAACCCTTGGCCAGCATCACGGGGGCCAGATGCCAAAAATTCGTTTACAAGAACATCATCACACGCTTTGGCGTCCCCCAGGAGATTATATCAGACAACGACACCCAATTCGAGGCAGCCCCTTTTCAAGAACTCCTCCGGGAGTTTGGGGTAAAGCATCGTTTCTCCTCCGTTGCCTACCCTCAGGGCAATGGGCAGGTCGAGAACGCCAACAGAACAATCATGGAGGGGCTGAAGAAGAAACTCCAGGCCGCAGGAGGTAGTTGGGTCGACGAGCTCCCCAAAATCCTGTGGTGCTACAGAACCACGCCGAGGAGGGCGACAGGTGAAACGCCTTTCGCCCTATGCTACGGCTTTGAAGCAAAGGCGCCCACGGAAGTTGCCATCCCCAGCCGGCGGGTGGAACAATATGAGCCTGACACCAACGAAGAGAACATGAAGATTGACCTGCACCTGGTTGATGAGAGGCGTGAGCAAGCTTACGTCCGAGCAGAGATCTACCGGCGTCAAGTAAAATCATACTATGACGCCAAGGTACGTTCCCGGGAATTTCAGGTGGGCGACTACGTCCTCCGCCGAAGGGAAGCAAGCCAGCCGACAGAGGGTGGCAAGCTAGCATTGAAGTACGAAGGGCCCTACATCGTCAGTGCCGTGGTCAAACCCGGCACCTACAAGCTTAAACGCCCGAATGGGTCCAATGTACCACGAACATGGAATGTACACCATCTGGTGAAGTTTTATCAGTAATCCGAAGGAGGTGCAGACGGCGAAGCCCTCACCCCTTAACGGGTTACTGATTGAACGCCACCCTCGGCCTCGAGCCACTCATGAATAAAATCATGTTCTAATTTTTTCTCCGGAATTTAAAGTAAAACATTAGCAGGTGCCTCCGTCGGCCACCTTAGAGCGAAAGGCTCAGGCATGGCCGACATGGCCCCTTGCATTTGAAGCCTACGAGCAATAAGCTCAGGCACTCCATTGTATTTTGTATCAGCGAAGGGCTCAGGCCTAGCTGAGAGAGCACATCGTCCTGGCCCCGTAAGCCTAGAAGCGAAACGCTCAGGTATGGCCGACGATGTCCCCAAGACGAGGGGCCCGCAAACGGCCCACGTCTTGAAACGGGAAGCTCACCGCGTCGTCCACGCGCCAGAACGCAGGACGACAGGCCTGAAATCATGGCTGAGGTGACAAAATCCCAAAACTCAGGGATGGGCAACGACAGTCGTTGGAAACCGACCAAAAGTCTAGCCCGCGTCATAAATAGGCGACGGGACCCGCCCTGAGATCACGGACGTTATAAACGAAGTCCGAACCGGCTGAAGGGCGAGCACACCCTTCGGCCGAAGCCTGAAAGAAGGATACCCCCCGAAACGAAAAAAAAAATATAAGGGAAAAAGAGGGAAGCCGACGGCCGCGCACACTAGCCGGCCTCGAGCAATGAAAAAATAAAATCCCCACAACTCAGGCCCAACTAGGCCAAGTACATATCAGTTGAACACAAGTGTAGTACCACAAACAGGTAACATGGACGACACGTCCACGCACTACAAGGGAATGATCAAGGCCGACACACGCCTATAAAAGCCTAACCGCATCGGTTGGGTGACACGTGAGAGGTGACCTTCATCGGCCACAGTCCTTTGAAGCACCAACGCTTGGTATGAAACAAAGAATCACAATCCTGAGGATGACCAGGACGAAGCGGGCACTGCACACACCCGCGGAAGAATCAAGCAATCAGGAAACAATCCTTACTTGCCACAGCAGCCAGGATAGCCGATACAGGCACTGGAACCAAGGCTGTTGGTCAAGTGAAAGTTCTCTGGGAATTGGTTCAAGTGTTTACCAAACACTTAGAAAAAATCCTGAGAAGAAAGAAAAGAGGGTTCCTCAACAAGGAACCATGGCTGGCCGACGAAGGTAGGACCATCTCCTTGGAAAGTCATTCCTTATCCAGCACCCTCATCGGCCACAAGCCAGACCTTGGCCAACAGCGGTACCGCAAAGAAGTAAATGCCCAGCATTTACACTTGGAAAATTCTCTAAGTACTCAAGTGGAAGAACTCTGGACGAAGCGGGTACATATATACTCCAAGGCCGTTAGCTATCTACAACTTTGCACATGTACTTGGGAAAAATTCTAAGTTCAGAAGATCAAGGTGAAGGCGCCCTTATCGGCCACAACACAAGGATGTAGACCGACAACGACACCGGCTACAACACTCGGTAAATCTCCCAGAGCATTTGCCAAGAGTGATCAACCCAAGGCCAGGACGATGAGAACGCTCAGCAACTTGAAGTTAGAAACTTCAGAATATTCTAACAAAAGATAAAAAAGCCAACGCCTGGACGGAGCGGACACCACGGTCAAGGCCGAAGGAAAAACACCTAGGTGAATCCCAAAACACTTAGGAAATTTTTGAAAAAAAAAATCCTACGTGTTATGATACTGCATCAACACCGGTCAGGCCGACAAAGCCACCAGGCTGGAGAGAAGGCACTTAAAAGGACCCAAAACACTTAGGCAATTTTGGAAAAAAAATCCTAAGTGTTATGATAGTCGAGAAACTACGTCCAGGCCGATCAAGCCACTAGGCCGGAAAGACAGCAGCTACGTGGACCCAAAACACTTAGGAAATTTTTTAAAAAAAAATCCTAAGTGTTATGATAGTAAAGCAAAGATGAATAGGCCGACCAGGCCACCGGACAGGAAGGCCGACCTCACGGACGTAGCGGACACTCGCGGGTGACCCAAGTTATGACTTGACACTTAGACAATTTACAGAATTGAAATGACAAGAGGCAAACAAGCATACAAGGAATTCAAAGCCGAGCAGGACGGCAAATATATCTTCATTCATAATCAGTTCATTACAATTGGGGGCACTTCGGCCGTTACATCATTTGGCAAAAAATTGAAAAGCTAATTACAACAGGGAATAGCCGATCAAGCCTCCGGGGCACCTTCATCCGCGGCTGACTCTTCAACCTCGTCGGCTCCCCCCTCGGCGGGCTCTTCGGCCTCGTCGATTCCCTCCTCGGCCTCCGTCTCCTGGCCGGCGGCGGCCGCAGCGCTAGTGGCATCGTCCAGGAAGTCAAATTCAGTGTAGTCCGGCTCGCCGAGGCCGGAACTTTCAATTGGGGACTCCCGCTCCGACAAAGGAAGCTTGGCTTGCTCCTCTGGATCCTTCATCAGCTTTGGCAGCTTCAGGTTCCGTCTGGCCCACCCGGACGTGTAGTTCATGGCTTTCAACGCACGGGATAGCCGACGACACAGGAGCCTTTGCATCCGCTCCTGGCCCATGTTGTAATAGACGGCCATCTCCCTGCTGAAGTACTCCTGGCCGGCGGGGGAGTTCATCCCCCAATCTTCAAGCCTGGCGGCAACCACTTCGTAGCACCAGGGAAGCCTCTCATCGGCCTTCCATCCCTCGGCCAGGAACTTCTCAACGGCCTCATCAGCAGCCCTCACGACGGCGGCCTCGGCCTCAGCTTTCGCCTTGACGGCCTCCTCGCTCTTGCGCCTCTCGGCCTCCAGCGCCCTTTGGGACTCCTCGAGCTCCCTTTTGCTCTCCTCGAGCTTGGCCAGGGCATCGTCCCTGGCTGCGGCGGCTTCATAAGCCCTTGCCTGCAACGCCTTGGCATCCTCCCGGAGCCAATCAAGGCAAGCTACCGCCTCGTCGGCCGAGGCAGCCTTCTGCTCCAGCTCTTTCAAGCGAGCTATCTCCCTATACTGCCTCTTATGGCTCTCCATAAGCATAAAGGCACTCTGCAGAAGGAAAACACAGGTCAGGCAAATGACTCTACACAGACGATGAGAAAGACAAAACATAAGGAAAGTAACTTACTTGGACGAGGAGGTCCATGCCGCCCTCGTAAATCTTCACGTCCCCGAGCTTCTTCAAGTAAGCCCGATCTTTGGCCGGCATGGCCTGGGCCAGGACGACGTGGCCAGGGACGACATCATCAAACACGCCCCCGCCGACGGGGTACTCTACCATCTTCTGGTAGGTGGTACCGGCAATCTCCTTGCCGGCCCTCTTCGTCCGTGGTTCCTGGACGAGAGGAAGCGCTGGGGCAGCATCGTCAGCAGCAGTAAGGTCCACGACGGGACCACCATCGTCCACGCTGGGGACAGTCAGAGTACCGGCCTCAGTAGCCGGAGAAGGGGAAGGAGCCCTCTTCGTCTTCTTCGAGACGCTCAGGCCGGCCTCAGTTAAATTTTTCTGGCCGTCAGTGGCCGGCCTTTTCTTCTTCGATGGAGCAGGCTTTGGGGCCGCATCAGCAGTAGCCCCGCTCCCACCGGCCGCGGCACGTCTGGCCGCCTCGGCCGCCTTAGCAGCCAGCTCCTCGGCCGCTTTGGCCTTGGCAATAGCCATTATGGAACGTCGGTCCATGGCAAAATCTACAAAGGAAAAACACAACGGATTAGTAAGGCAAAGGACAAAAACATAAAAACAGAAAGCCGAAGAAATAATTACCATCGGCCTCAGCAGGAATGCCCAAATCCGGGCCGTCGGCCTCTTCAAAGGTGGTGGTCATCCTCGGCCAGAGTTGGAGGTCATCCTCCTTGTCACCATAGACATGGTACCTCAAGAAGCCGAGGGCGGTCATCTTGTACTCAGTAATATACTCCTTCACGCTCCTCGGCCCCCCTTCCAAGAAAGCCTCCACCTGAGCGTCCAAAATAGAGCTCTTCGGCGGGTCATGCAGGTTAAACCTCCCGATGTGGCCGAGGGAGGGAAACTCGGTGCCACTCTCACCAATGGACACAAACACGAACTTGCTCTTCCACCCATGAATGGACGTAGGCAAATCCGTGAAGCTCCTCTTCTTCGGCAGCTGCTGAAGAGTAGCATAGGCCGCACAGTTCTTGTGACTTCCTCGGCCGATCTAGTACAGATTCATGAATAGTGCCGTTGTCGGCCTGTAGCCCAACTCCTCACACCGGAGCAAAAACCCCACCATCAAGGAGTAGCTGTTCGGCGTCAGCAAGGCCGGAGGAAGCCCTACCATGTCCAGGTACTCGGTAATGAAAGGGTGAAGGGGGAACCTCAACCCCTTAGCAAAACTCATCGGGTATACTCCAAAGTATCCCGGTGGTGGAAGAAGAACATGGTCCGTCGGCTTGGGTGCCCTATCCCGCCCGAACGGCCCCACGTACATCTGGGCAACAAGATAGTCGGCCGCACTGCTCTCCGGCTTGATCAAGTAGATGTTGGTGAGATCCAGGTAGGAGATGCCGGGCCCACTCTTCGGCCTCCTCACTCTCTTCGGCTTAGTGGCTCCCTTAACGGCGGACACCGGCCTCGGGCACGGAATGACAGCAGAAGTGGACGCCCCGTCCACCACTCGGGACGCACCTACGTCCTCACCCTTTGAAGAGGAGGCGGACTCCTCGTCCTCGCCTTCCTCGTCCACCAGCTCTCCGGATTTGTAGGGACTTAAACGCTCTATCTCCTCTTCAAACTCCTCGAGCACCTCGTAGTCAAGCGACCTCGTGGAGGGCTGGTCGTCGTAGGGGTAGTCGTCTTCGTTCAAGCTCTTCATAACTACTACTACGGGCCTAAGGAGACTAACTTAAGATCTAAGGGTGTTCAAACGCCTAACACTAGATCAAAAACCTAGGAAGCAAAGTATGAAAAGTGAGGAAGATCGCGATGAACACTAACCTTGAACAACGAAGAACAACGAAGAACAGGCTTGGGAGTTTATCTCTCTAGAAAATCGGCCAGCACTTCGACAAATTCAGAATGCAAATACGTTTTCTCGTCGGAGGGGGAGGGGTATTTATAGAACCCCCCACCCAACGGTCACTACACGTGGCACCCCCCCCCCCCCCCCCAATGGCCACACCAACGGCCACCAATGGGGGGCGACCACGTCACCAATGGGCCAAACTCAATATCCACAGCCCACTAGCAGGACGGACTCTACGACCTACACACGCTCACCGGCTTTACAAATGCCAACAAGCGCCCACTACGTCCCACTTGCTCGCCAAGATCACAACTGCCAAACGATAAGGAGACGGCAACGGCCAGGAACGTAACGGCCACAAGATCAAAGGACCCAAGAGCCCAAAAGCCATCGGCTCCTCGTAATAACCCTTGATGATAACTCTCTACAAGCGATCTGCGCACAAGGGTTCTCCCACAGGGTTACCTTGGCCAGAAAATCGCCATGAGGGTCGGATACAGGGGGACTACGGCGAGACCGCTTCGGCCGGGGAATCAAGCAACTCCTTCACCCCTCACACTCTTCGGTCTGAAGCAGTGGGGGACTGGGGGACTACACCGGCCTCAACAAAACAAAAGAGAATGCAAGGGCTGTTGTTTACTTGATGAAGGGAGGCCGTTGTTTACTTGATGTCTTCGTTTCTGGGTGAGCGTCTAGATGAAGGCGGAGAGGGCCGATTGTACGTCTATGGTGATGACCGGATGGCTAATTTGATTTTCGCTCCGGTCCTTTTTCTTGGCATCGATGCCGAGGCGGGCATCGGGGGCATTTTGTTGAATCTGCTGGCGTAGGTCGACAGCCGACTGGTCCAACCCGGCGATGACGCCGCCCCCGGGAGCCCTGTTGGAGGCTTCGGGGACGTCGACCTCGCCGAGGGCCAGGTTCCTGTCCTCTACATTCTTGGAGTTGGCACGAGTTGTTCTCACCATTTTAGATGGGTGTTTTTGTGTTTGGTCCAGGGGGGGTTCTTACTTGATTGTTCGACCTCTCAACGAGAGCACCAAATGATGGATAGTGTACCCGGGGGGTAGCTTATCCGAGGGGTTATTACGGGGAATAGCTAGAGAGAAGTCAGAGCAAGTAAGTATAGAGAGAGAAAGTATATTAGAAAGTGTTCAGTGTTTTCAGTGTGGTTACAAATGGGGAAATGGGGTGTTATTTATAGTAGCAATAAATGCCAGACAGGGATACGTGTCAAGCGTTTATTGGCCGAGAGGTCACCTCAACTGGTTGGCGCTGGCAACCGCATGTGGCCGCATTTAATGCGGCTGTTGGATGGGACGTTGTACAGGGTACGGTGATCTGTACGCATGTGGCGCGGATATCATGTCGGGAAAGGTGCCCTCGGTTGTAGAGGACTAGTCGAGGGCTCTGAGTACCAGAGATCCCCTTGGTCCCGAAGGCTCCCGTTGCCGAGGGCTACTAATTTTCGCCGTTTTTTCTAGTAACTCTGTTTTGCTGTCTTGGCCCTCCTGTGAGAGTTAGAGCCCTCGGCCAGGGGGGCGAAGGCACCCCTGGTGCGCATTTGTGGGCTGCTTGGTATCTTGGGCACCGTGATGTTGGCCTGTTGTGTTTCCTGGGTCTATTGGGCCTTTATTGGAGTAGTAGGAGTTTGTGGGCCGGGGGTTCCCGGGCCATATACTCCATCAATGTTATTCTTTATTTTGGGGGGGGGGGGGGGGGGGGGGGAATAATTTAAATATCAACTTTAAATTACCCAAACTTGCATATGTAATATATATGCCCCGAACTTTATATAAAAAGTTATTTTTGCATCATGATTTTATGTTCTCCATTAATAATTTAATACGTAGTATTAATTTTTTGAAATAATTACATAATTGAAAATATTCTAAGCTTTATTAGAATGTAGTTAACAGACAATTCTGTTTGGGTAGTCTATAGGGTCCTACAAAGTTATCCGTAGACATACAACATTGACAAACAACATTGTTTAAGTAAACAAACAAATGTGACAAAGGTGTACACAAAAAACGTGTACCCTAAACACGACTGATTGTACGATGGAAAAACACACTAGTAAATGAGATTGACTGCAAACTCGATTCGTGACTTTTGGCGGAAAGAAAGTCAACTTTCCCATTCGCTTTGTATATAGTAAGATACATGAACTATTACTATTTTAGTTTTATTACAAATCTTTTAAACTGTAATTTTCAGCCTGATAAATATGCTCTTCCTAGCTACCAATTGTTTGTCTGACATCCTCAATCAATTTGAATTATTTTCAGAAGAAAAAATGAACATATGAAAACCTGTTACTTTTTGCCGATGAATCGAAATAATTATTTTAATGATTGAAAAAACTTTTCCAATCCTCTCGTATGAGTGCCTCTGCTATTCACTTGTTCTGTAAGCGTCGAAGCTTCTCCTCGCCTCTGTACTCGCCTACCACTCCCAGTTTCCCATGCTCTAACTCGCTTTGTTTGGTTCAAAGGAGGGGAGGGAAGGGGAGAGTCAAGGAGGGAAGAGAAGGGAAGGGGAAGGAAAGATTTTGATAAAAATTTGTGTTTGGTTGGAGGAAATAGGAGGAAAGGTTTAATGAAAATATTTTCGAAATTTACTTTTATTTGATAGCTTACTTAAAAATATAGATACATGTCTAACTATTGTGAATATTACTCCTATCATCCTATGGTCATGAGTCATAATTTTATTTTATTTGATTTTTTACTTTTTTAATTTTATAATTTTTCATTTTTCAGTTTGGAATTTTTAATTTTCAATTTTTATTTTTTAAATTTTTTAATTTTTAGTTTTTAAAATTTTTAATTTTTAATTTTTAATTTTTTAATTTTTTATTTTTTTAATTTTTAAATTGTTTAATCTTTAAATTTTTATATTTTTTAATTTTTTAATTTTTCAAAACTTTTTGTTTTTTTTTCTTTTTATATTATAACGTTTTGTTCATTCACGTAGGAGATGGATAGTTTGTGGTTATCAACCCGTTTCCTCCGAAATACCTCGATTTGGAGGGTTTAGAATGGGAGGAAGTGGAGGATTTTGAAAATCTTCCACTTTCCTCCCCTTCTCCCCTATTTCCTTCAACCAAACACACACAAATTCCCCAGTTTCTTCTCCTCCCCTCCGAAACCCTCCAACCAAACAGGGCTTTAAGGTATCGCAGGTCAGGTCTTTTGGAGCTGATGACTGAAGATAATAAGAAAGTAGATGGAACACCTTGGGACACATCTCAAAATGCTTTTCAAGAATTTAGAGAAATGCATACATATTCAAATGAAAATCCTAGCCAGTTACGATGTGGTGATAAAAGTCATACCGGGCAATCAAAGAAGAGGAAGTCTGCTTTGAGATCACTTGGTGGCGATGGATTGTGCCCAGCTTTCACTTGGTGGCGGTAGAGAGTTTAGCGAAGAAGAGAGTTAGCGAAGGAACTAGAGTTAAAAAGAGAGACGGTAATATGAATGTCTGAACCGTAAGTATAGTTAAATTTGGGTTGAATGATTAAGTCAAAAATGGTCCGAGCGAATAAGTCATATTTTAAAATAAGTTCTAAGTAAATAAGAGTATATGACTGACTCAATAAGTCATCGTTTCCATTCAGACCATTAAGTCCGAAGCAAACAACCCCTGAGTTAAAAACATTCAGATTAGCAGGTTTTTGACAAAAATATATTAAGTTTTGCTAATATACAATTGAGAAAGAGTGATTCACCACCTTATTTTAACCTTTTTTATTTGACGCTAAATGGCCCTGTCACTTGAATTTGTTGTCGGTGCGCCCTTTTAGCCCTTTTCTGGAGAAAATAAAAAAATACTATAGAGAATTGGGCAATAACCACATATAGTGATAAATGTTATTGGTTTAGGGAAAAGCTAAACTATTTTATTAAGGCATAATAATTTTACTAAGAATCTACCTGCTTTACAGATTTTATTCCGCATGTATAAAGATACGAGTTCATATATTTATATTTTCAAATTAATAGTTCATAATGACAAGGGTTAGTGAGTATAATTGGCTATAACTTATAACAATAAAATACTTCATCCGTTGCATAAAAGTTGCAACATTGTAATTTCTGCACTATTTACATACCTTACTTTGACTACGATTTTCTAATAATATATATAATAAAAATATTATGTATAAAATATTAATAAATTTGTATTAATGTAAATTTCTAATATATTAACTTTTTTTAATGTTTACTAATACGTGAATAAATATAATTAAAGTCAAAGTTGCGCGTTGGGAAACGTGAAAGTCAAAGTATTGCAACTTTTATGGAACGAAGGATAGTATATATAGATATAACAAGGATATCTACGAATAATGGTAGCTTTATGCCTATAGATTCATCTTTGTAAACCCCTGAGGGGATCCACTCTCTAGATAATAATACAATTTTACGCTGACAAAATATTTTATTCTCGTAAATTAGCTCTTGCAGTTGGAATTAAACTTCATCAATATGCATATTAAAACTCCGAGAGTTTTGATATTGATACTTGAATGTTTCAATTCAACCAGAATTTCATCAATTTAAATTGATTCAACTAATTTCAATTTTACCATACAAGTTCTAACTCTTAAATCTGTTTTTTCTTTGAGACTCCAATTTCTTTCTGTATTTATAACTGATTTTTGAATATATTACGAAGTATATTTCAATAAAAAAATATTTAATCCATTAATCATTTGACACCATACTTCAATTCATATATGATGAATAAACAAGGGTAGGGTAAATACCAGGTAGAGAATATTAAAATTAAAGCTCGAATTATATACACATCTTAGTACGTTGAAATCAAATCATTAAAAAGCAGATTATTGTAATGGTTCTTGTTGATCTCATATGTATAGTTATTATGCTTATATGAGAGCAGAATGGATGGAATCTCACTTGGCTATTATGCTCAGCTCTGCTGAGCTTTTCAATATATGTTTTTTATTGAAAAGAAAATAGAATTTGATTCGGCCTCAAAAGGATAAGTACAAAGAAATCTTAAGAAGAATATGATTCTTTATGTTAGACAAAATATGATGCTTAATATTTGGTCACTATTTAATCAATAGTAAAGGGCGTGCAGACATACTTCTTAAAACTGATTCTACTCTTTTAGGGAATGTAAACTTATACGGTGACAACTCCGGTACCCATTTCAAAAATGGGGTACCGTACCTATCATTCACTTGATTGGTTCAAATCATCATATCATTTTTTATTTAGATTTAAATAATTCAACTACAACATTCTGATTGGTCTATGTGGACGAAGGTATGGTACCTTATGGGTACCATAGAATCTACTAACTTGTAGGTGACAACTCCGGTACCCATTTGGGTGAAAGTGCAATATTAGTTCTGAGTGTTCCAATCATGTTAAAAAATTTAGCCCACTTGCTAATGTTAAAGTCACGTGTAATTACTTTGTTCAATCGAGATCCTAAATCTGCTCATGCATTGTACATTTATGTTTCACATATGCATAATTCCAAAATCTAATGTACACGATTTCTTCACATTTTTTCCTTAGATAATAATCACGTTATTGGTCGATCCAAATTATATGATTTCTTCCTTACAATCATAAACTCTCTCTTTTATAGTAGGATTATAAACTCTCTTAGCCAGTTATGTTTAGACTGGTTTAGAGAATTTCTATTTGACAATTCAAAACGAAAATACTTTAAGCAGAATTGTATTTGACACCCCATTATTATTATTGTTGTTTTTGTTGTTATTATATTCCAAGTTCGACGCCCGCTACTAAAATTATTGTTGATAAAACACCCTAAATTTCAAAACGACGACGTTACATTTTCCTTTCAACTGAAAGTTCACACCCACTTTAAAAGAATTTTCGAATTTCAAAGTCTAAATCCAATTATTTACCAATTTTGAAAAACAATATAGAAACTCAAAGTTCGAAGCAAAAGTTGATTTAATTTTCCCTACTTGTAAACATATATTTCGTATATGATTAGGGCGGAGCCACGACACTAGACCGAACTGAGTCGGTACAAAGAATATTTTTAGAAAAAAATTTACACGAAATTTTTTACCTTAAAAATTAAGCCATTTTTAAAATTTGGGGTGGGCCATGGCCTAGGTTGGCTCACCCCTAGCTCCGCCCATGTATATGATAATGTTATTGTGTAACTATTGTACGGTTTTTCGATCATTTTTCTCACTTGTACTCATTCAAATAGTGCCCCCCACATCGAAATGTATTCATGATATTTTTAGTTGTGTAAATGTCACACTTTAATTGTCCCGATCAATTGCTATCAGTAAGGTCATCACCCACATCGTAAATGTCACACCTCAAGGTTCAAACAACGACATTTACAACAATTCAGACAATTGAGCAGTGACTTTTACAAATTTGAAAACATGGGAGCTCAGTTTAATATGTGTACTATTTGAGAAAGGAAAGTGCATTTTAACATTGAGCCTGTTTGGATATTGGCGGTTGGCATCAAACCGCTGTTTTATAACTTAGAAACGCTGCTATTAACAGTGGATTGGCGTGGAACCGCCGAAAAACAAAGGCGCCTTTAATTACATTATCTTTCTAGCTAGTAGTCATGTACTCGTGTATTTGTTTTAGAGAAAGTGGTCAAATATGGTCTTCTACTATTATGAAATAGTCACATAAGACCATATATAAATTCAAAATGTATACAAATATATAAGTATATATAACCTATATCAACACTAAGTGCGTGTGTGGAAAGAACTCTTTCTTGTAAGTAATAACCTATAACTTATTCTTTTTCTACGTATAATTATGTGTATTGATTCGACTAGTATAAAGTTTTCAATTTTAATTTGCTAATTAAATGACGTAACTAGTTGGAAGAATAAGATGTTATAGATAATAATCATTAATATTTGATCCACTTTATTTTGTAGAAACTTATTTGTAGAGAAAATTGTACGTGTATTTTTATATCACCTGATTTAAAAATACAAAAACTTATCACGATCAACATTTTCTATATAGAAAAGATGACAATTATAAAAGTGTGACATCAATAAAAGAACAGGCAGTACGTAGCACCTTCCAAGTTGGATTTCAAGGGGAGCAAAATTTACTGTTTTTATTTATAGACAACCTTAATGGTAAACACTGAATTGACACCGTCACATAGGTAGTACGTAGTACATTTTTATACGAAGTAATAATTAATTAATAATGACAAAAGTGTGATATGTTTTATTACGAAACAATAGATAAATGCATCATTATATTTTCCTTTTCTTGCAACACTTTTCTACACAACTTGTAGTATAGAGATCATTTTTCTTTATATTAATATAGTACAGTGTCTATACTTAGACGTTTTGTTTAACGTTGGTAAGAAAAAATTATCAAAACAGATAAATCATTAAATAATAAGGAGTTTTTTCCCAAAATAACGTTAGATAAAAAAAATGCTACGTAATTACTAATTTAATGTTGAGTTAAAAGTATTTTCCAAAATACTGCTGACACAAACTATGGTTAAATTAGTAAATTTAATGTCTAGATATCTTAGGATGTTTTTACTTGGACTGTAATTTGCTGGTCTGGTCTGGTCTGGTCTGGTTTCTTTATATTTTTATAACTATCCAAGTCTGGTCTGGTCTGGTCTGAACTGATCTGGTCTGGTCTGGTGTGGTCTGATATGGTCTTGTCTGGTCTGGGACGAATTACGTAAAAACATCCTTAGAGCATATATTTTCTATTAGGGCTAGATATCTATCAATCATATATTTTCATTGCAACTGCTCTAAATACATCCCCTTAAGAGCATATGGGATATGCTTAGCATCAACATTACAACATACATATACTTGCTCTTTAAATAGAGTGGCTTCATGCACAATAGTTTCATCATAATCCAATCACAAGAAAAAGAAGAAAACCCTTGGCTTATAGAAGTTATAAATAAATAAAAAGAAGCGTTCTGTCCCCAACACATTTAATGATCAATGATGATAGGGTACGGGTATAGTGATGATTCTCACGACAATCTAGTTGGCCGGCGGCCGGCGGCCGGAGATGACGAATATCTCAACAAGCAAAGCCAACCACTACCATTCACGGCCGCCGCCGGCGGCGGCCCACGGTCAACCTTCACAAGGAACCACTACTCCCCTGATAATTACTACGACGGGGAAGGCTCAAACAACTACTACACCATGAAGGCTGAAACCGTCGTCGCCCGACCCGTGGTCAACCATCAATTTTTCATTGACGGTGTGCCCGTGAACGTTAGACGACCGGCAGGTGTGAGTAATGACGGTTGTGCCCCCGAAGAGGATATAGAAGATACCTTCAATAGATTCCGTGTGGCGGCGATAGCCGCCGTAAAGGCTGGCCCGTCTTTCGGTGACTCGACGCCCTCAACTACCACCAATAAGCCGATGACATGGGGGAGGAGGTCCTCGTGGAAGACCGCCGATGAAGACTCTCCTCCTCCCGCCGGTGGTCGCCGTAACGGCGGTCAAGAATCGAGCCGTCCGAATTGGCCTTCTGGGCCGAGGCCCAATACCGGCGATGGCCCATCCTACGCTTCTGGTAAGCCGGTTGAAGTTGACTCCCCTCCTAGAAATATTGACATTCAACGTCGTCATAACGGCAGTCAAGAACCGATCCGTTCGAGCCACTCCGCTGGGCCGCGGCCCACCTGGCAGAGTACCCGCGGCGGTTCATCAGCAGTTACAGAGGAGGATGAAGGTGAAGCTAAAGTCAAAGCTGGCGTTGACTATGACACTCCCGCACATATTGAGAAAGGCGAGGACCAGAGATATACTTCCGTCCAGCCGCCGCTCAAACAGCTCGAAAGGTTGACCATCAACGACCGCCAGAGGCCGTTGACCAAATCCGATAATGGGTCCGGGGAGAACAGAGGTAATCAGGCGACGGCGGCGGCGGATAACAAAGATCCAACAAAGAAATCTGACGGCGGAGACGGCGGTGGCGGGAAATTACCATGGAGCAGTGGGAAGCAAAATTACGGATGGGGCATGGGCTCCGGCAGCCGGAAGCCGGCTGCTCCATCTCCGAAGCGATACGGTGGGTTTGGCTATAACTCTGCCGCCGCAAATTGGTGGGGTAAGATAGCTCCAGTCTCTTCAGTACAGCAGCAGGGAGGCTATATTAATGTGATGGACAGCAATGAAGCAAGGAGGCGGTATGGGAATCTCCGGCCAGCTGCACCGGCGGCGATGGGATACTACAATGGTGTGGGATCGGTCATTACCAGTGATGAAGCTGTGAGGAAGTATGGCGGCTTCTACCTCCCTAATCGGTATTAACAAATAACAAGACCGGTCAGGCAAGGAAGACAGAAGGGGGGGGGGGGGGGGGGGGGGGGGGGGGGCATGGTTGACTTTCTTAAGTTGCTTGCTTGCGTGCATGTTTGGTTTCTGTACAAATAAAATAGAAATGTCTCATGAATATAATGTTGACCCATAATATTTATTTCCCTATTCTACTCTTAACATAACTTAATAGGATATTTATATTTTAATTATTAATGAAATATGAATTATGGTGAAACAAAGTAAGGGTAGAATTTGAAATCTACTCTTATTTAGAAATTTTTTAAGTTATGGTCATATATTGTCAATTAAAGTTTCATTCAGTCTTATTTGGAAACATAGTGTGAAAATGTTAGGTCAAATGCATAAATGGTGTCTTTTTTTTGAACCGAAACTCATCAGCTTTATAAATGTAATAAATTGTTTGTCAACTGGCTTACAATACAATTCGGTAACGTGGAATAACTATAAAAATGATCTGAGAGAGTAACATGCGATCTTACTAGAGCATGAGTCGCACGATTCGCAGACCGATTACAAAAAGAGATCTCGTAATTTCTCTCTGTCTGAAGAAGATACCGGATATCGTCAATGATCAGGTCCAAGTAGGTAAGCCCACCGCCACCACGAATTCCACGTATAATTACCTGAGCATCAGACTCGATTTCAACCTTATCTCATCCCTCATTAATAGCTGCTGTGATAGCCCCACGTATCCCAGCCGCCTCAGTCTCTGCCGGAGTCCATTCCGCTTTGTATGAAGCTCCTCCTGCCTTCACAAACTTACCTTTATCATCTCTAGCTATCTAGCCCCAAGTTCTTGTTCCACCTATGCTGTCTACCACGGCATCCAGATTTATTTTAATGCCCCCAATTCAGGTCGTTTCCATCTTGGAGTTGTACGTCGTGTATTCCGGCTCAGTTTCCCCACCACGTGTTGCGCTGTATTCCAAGCTTGTTGCATACTAGCGCAGCAGCTTATAACACATGCCGTACTCTGCTACTCATCCTCCCAAACAAAAGTATTGTGACGCTTCCACAGTCCCCAAACAAGCATGGCTACTCTACGCCTTTTCTCCTTATCCGGCCCCGCCAATAATCTTTTCAACCAAGCCTCCAAAGTATCCTCTCCTCCGCCAGTATCCACACCGGCTTCCTTCCAACCCTCCTTGGCATTCGGACACGACCTCAGGGCATGCTCTGAAGATTCCGGTTCATGTAGACAATTTTTACAAAGAGTTTGAACAGGAACCCCTTTGCGCTCCAGATTCGTCAGTGATGGAAGAGAGCCATCTAGAACCTGCCATATGAGATATTTAATTTTGGGCGGTATTTCTAGATCCCATAACGATTTCCAACCTGTCCATGCACCTTCTCCCACGCCATTCCTCTGAGTCTGGTAGCAACTTTTTATAGAGAAATTCCCATCATTTTCCTTGCTCCACCAGAGACTGTCCTTCCTGTCTTGGATGCTTATGGGAATGCTGGCTATAATCTTCTTTTCCTCCTCATTAAAGATTGCTCCAATTCGTTCCACGTTCCATTTCCTGCCCGTGCTGTCTCTCAGAGCCGCTACATTCATATTTGCTATCCCTGGCGGTTTAGCAGACTGAACCAGTCCATTCCCCTGTCCTGGGAGCCACGCATCACCCCAAACCTGAATCTCTCTACCGTTTCCAGCACGCTTTCTGGTATTCTCTTGTAGGACACTCTGAGTCTCCATGATAATGCGCCAAATGTAAGAAGGGTTGTTGCCAAGCTTGGTCTGCAAAAAATCAGATTTGGGAAAGTATCTGGCTTTTAGAACACGTCCCATTAAATTGTCAGGCCTAGCTAAGAGCCGCCAACCTTGTTTAGCCAACATAGCAAGGTTGAACTCTCTTAACTTCCTGAACCCCAGCCCTCCCAGTCCTTTCGGTTTGCATAGTGCCTCCCATCTTCTCCATCTGATCCCTCTCTGTTCAAATTTTGAGCCTTTCCACCAGAATCCGTTCATTAATTTTTCGATCTCGTCACACAGATCCCTGGGGAGTAAAAAGACATTCATCGCATAAGTGGGCATCGCCTGGACAACATTACGAAGCAACACCGCTCTTCCTGCTCGAGATAAGAATTGATTGTTCCAACTTTTAATTCGCTGGACAATTCTATCTCTTAGAAATCCAAGAATAGCTGTTTTTCCTCTTCCTATTAAGCTCGGCAAACCCAAGTAATGTTGATTGTCTCTATACTGCAAACCCAAGAATAGCTGTTTTTCCTCTTCCTATTAAGCCATATGATCGCTAGCCGGAGCTTCAATTGAACTTGCCTGAGCTTCCATGAACATATCCCACCACATATCATTGACTAGAATACAATCAAGTTTTTCCTCCACCCAATAATTTGTGCCCTTTCCCCGGTCCCACGTCCATTGATACCCGGAAAAAGGAAAGTCCCGCAAGCCACAAGTGTGGACAACCTTCTGAAAACCCCGGATCCACCACGGGTGTGTGGAATTCTGCCTTTCTTGTCCGAGTTGAACAAAATATCATTGAAATCTCCAATCATCATCCAAGGCCCGGTGCTCCCCATCGCCAACTCCTCCATCAGCGCCCAGGATTCTCTCCTTCGTCGTGTTTCCGAGAAACCATAGAACCCGGTGAGTCTCCAAGGTGCTTCACTATCTCGCACTTTAATTTGACAATCAATGAAAGTTCTGCCCTCCTGCTGAACACTTACTTCGACATCGTCTCTCCAGCCTATTGCCAAACCACCGCTCGTCCCGTCGCTATCAACCCCTGAAGCCTCGAAGAAGCCCTGTGTGCGCAGTAATTCTTTCGCTCTGAGACAGCGGACCTTTGTTTCCATCAGAGATACAATCGACGGGTGGTGGCTATGAATCAGGTCTGCTAGACACTATATCGTAGCCGGATTGTCGAGTCCCCTGCAATTCCAGCTTAATACGCTCATTGAAACCCTGCAACCTGCGGTTAAGACACCAAATCTCCTTCGTCGGGTGAAACGCACACCCGAGTTGACGGCTTTAGATGAGCAGAAAGCTGCCGCCTGACTCCGCGCAGTTCCTTAGGCGGACCAGCCACGCCGTCGGAAAGCTCCCTAGGAGAACCCTAGACTCGACCGCTTCTTAGTTTGCTTTTTTTATAGAATGTTTCTCAATTCGGTATCTTAAATATTGATATTGTTGTGTTTTGATACTTTAACTCTTAAATAAATCAAATTATTATCATAATAACTAGGTGAAATTCACACTAATAATCTCAACTTTAACTAGTTCTACAATAATAATCTTTACTCAAGATGTCAATAACAATAATCCAAACTAATAAAGTCATTCACACAACAAGAATATATGAAACGGAGATAACATTTTTTTTATATTACACCTATTCTCACCCTACTCCTGTACCAATTTCCTTTTTCATTGGCTACATTCCCACCTCCTTCATCATACTCTTCTTCTTCCTCTATTTCAACCAAAAAAATAATACGGACTAATAATAATTAATCACAAAAATCCATTCATTCTAACTCCCTTCCACTACACTCCGATCCCAGCGTGAGCAACCACAAAACAGTTAACCAAACACCTTTGTTGATCATGAAGCTCGAAATGAATTATATTTATGTATTTTAATACGTGGAGGGATAAGATCGTAAGAAGGTAATGTGAATAGAGAAAGGTAATGTATTTGAACTAGTTTACCGGTTCAGATTATTTTTATGGATATCCTTAGTACAGATTTATTGTAGAACCACTTAAAGTAGAGATTATTAGCGTGAATTTCACCTAATAACTATACATAAATGTTTCAATTTACAATATTATTCAAATTTACCGCCAAAATCCTACATGGAAATCAAAATTTCATTTGTAGAATTCACCTACAAAAATCACATAGACAAAAGTAAGATGAACTGGACTTTACACATAGAATACTTGCCGCCACATATGATATATTGGCATTAAGTTTGATTAATATTGTCAATTAAAATATTTATGTACAATTATGGTACTGATTTTATTTATTTAAAAATTAAGGTACCAAAACGCAATAATACTAATAGTTAATGTACCATTTATAAATTGCACCCGTAAATGTGTCATGTTCCAATAAAGAAATGTCGGGTTACATATTCCTATTAGTATTTGGCTATTTTCTTGGTGAGCTTAGTTTTTCTTGGAGAAAATTTCTGGAATAGACGTAAAAATTTTGAAATCTAAAATAAAACCTGACATATATTTATTCTTTAAATATGAATAATTATAGTGAAGTTTGAAAAATACTATCATGTTTAATGTATAATTATATCAAAATATGATAGTAATTATGATATAAAAACATGGTAGACTTATTTCGAAATTTTGAAACGTTGTAATTCCTATTTAGTACAATTTCTTTTTTTCTTTCTAATTAAATCAAATTTATATAATATTTACATTTGTTTTTTGGTTTGTTTAGAAATAATCGTTCGTCCGTTCTATCTCACACTTTGACCATGAGTTACTTGCCCCAATGCTTAGAGCATCTCCAATGGGCATGTGAATTGTATAACACAAAAAGTGGACACATCATTTATGTGGACGGATGTTGTGTTGACATGGATAAATAGACACTCAACATAAAATTTCACCTCCAATGGGACAGTTTGTTTTCGACGTTTCGTCCCTTATTTAAAATACTTCCCGTTTTTAATTTACCTTTTGTTCTATTACTTTGCACGTAACTTCATCCTTGCAGCTCCTTCAATAAAAACTCCGTTCTTGTAGCCTTCTTCTCCGGTCCCCTTCTTTTCCAGTCCGGTAGCCTTCTTCTCCAGTCCGGTAAACTACTATGTAAACAACTATTTAGAATATATCTGTGATTCCATTCCAACTTCATTCCAAATGTCCAAGTGAATATATCTGTACATATTGAAAGATATATTCTACTGCTAACTATCAATCCAACGGTTAGAAAGATTCTAGGATTATACGTAGTACATATTGAAGTATTATCATAGATAAAGTTTTTTTATACTACCTATGTTGTT